TTTCTGAAAGGGAATTCCTCTGCAGAGAGCTTCACCGCGTGGAATCGAGGTATGTTTCAGAGTTTGTCACACCCTCGTGTGCGGTGGAGGAAACCACATTTCGTGTTGTGGAAGAGTTTGAGCAGCGTGTCCACGAGGCAGAGCAACGAGCTCGCCATGCCGAAGAGCGAGCCGCCGCCGCCAAAGCAGAGGAGGAGTCCGCAAGGCAGCGGGAGGCTGAATTGCTGGTGCACCTTGGTGTTTTGCAAAGGGATGTGGCGGCAAAGGAGCAACTGCTGGCTGAACTGAATGCAAAGGTAAGTGATGTGCAGAAACACGAGGAGGAGCTTCTACTACGTGTGGAAGGTTTGACGGAGGATCTACACAAACTTAACGAGGTGAAGGGGTTTGTGGAGGCCCTTATGTGGGGACTCCAGGAGGATTTTGAAGAGGCGGCAGCTCGTGCGGAGTGCGCTGAAGACACGATGGTGCGCCGAGTGGAACGTGTGGAGGAACTTCTTCGTTTCTCTGAGGCAGATGCGGCCTCGCGCGAGGCTGCCACCGTGGAGCGTATTACGCATATGAATGCCTCGTTGGAGTCAACATGTGCTGGGGTAGCGCTCGTGGGGTTGTATGAAGAATGCGTGGCCTCTGCTGCTGTGCTGTATGGACAGTTTGTCGGGGTAAAGATGGAGATGACTCTGGAGTTGCTGCGATGCGGTCAGCAGTGCCAGGGCGAAGTTGATTCCGTCAGTATTGCGGCTAGTTGCCTTTAACGATGCAAATCGTGTCTTTTTCTGTTAGTTCGTTTGCCGCGTAACACTTTGCTTTGCTCAATGCGTGTTGCGAATGGATGTGGGAGACTCTCCAGGTGTGTGTGCGTGGCGCGCCACCATGGCCACTGGATGTCATTTTGTACCTGCGGGGGAGGCCACACCATCGTTGATTTATACATCTTTGCTTTCGTGGTCCTATTCCGTGTTTTTTTTTTCGTTTTCTTAATGCGGCATAGGTTTAGATGTGCGTGTATCTCTCAATTTTTATGCTAGCGGTGGTGCTCCCAATAGCTGTGGCTGACCCGGTGGCTCCTGCTGCCCTGAAGCGGCCCTCCGCCTATGTCTCTCCAACGCGGTATACGCGCCAGTCGCACACGCCAACGACTCACTTCTTCGCGTCGCACTGGTACGCCCCATTTGTGCTGCTTTTGCTCGTCTCCATAATCTTGATGGTACTACTCTGGTGTACAATACATGTGTACTTCCATGAACGGGAGCAAAAGACGCGCCGCGAGGAGTGGCAGCGTATGCCTGGCACAAGCCAAGAAGGAACGGAGGTGCCGTTATTTACGGTCTCATTTTTAAACGGGGAATCCAGTGGGTCGTTGGACTATAGCATGTAGCTGAGAGCACTTCGTCCCTTTCCACCGCACAGGCGCCTTTCCCCTCCGTTGTGTATTTCGGTGCCCGCTCGAATTGGTGGTGTTTTTTTTTTAAAGGCTTCGTGTCGACAACTTTGTTGTCTGCATCAGTTTCATTTGTTTTCGTCTGCCACTCTGCTTGTGTGTACAATTTCCTCTCTGGCGCTCAGGCGCTACATCAGCAACCTCTCTGGGTGACTGTGCTTTGGATAATGGCGGTAATGAAGGGTGTTGATGCCGGGCGTGTGGCACACAGCGCTGGCGCAGATGCCTGAAATGTGTAGAGCAGCGGCGCTTTCTCCGTACTCTTCTTCTGCTTACTGCATAGGTGTAGTGGGAGACCGATGGAGGAGGTTGTGGGCACACTGAAGCAGGCGCAGTGTGCAGTGCTGCACGCACAGCGAGACCTCATCGTCCTTCGCCGGATGCAGGAGGAGCTGCAGGGCTCAGCATCAATTGATAATGATGATGGTGAAGGAGTAACGGTCGCTGAGTCGGTGAAGTTGCAGTTGGCGTCGCAGGCAAAGCAGGAGGAAGCGATGCGATACCTCGAGCGCAGCGTGCACCTCATTTGCAACCTCATCCGCGATAGTGGTAAAGGCTGCACAGAGGAAGAGAAGGATATGGGAGCCGCAAAGCGAGCGATGCGGCGTTACTTTGAGGGCCAACTCGAGGTGCAGCGGCAGCGGGAGGAGCAGTTCCAGCAGCAGCTTGTTGCCCACGATGCTCGATTCACTGCTGTACAAGATGATGCCGTAGCGTTTGCTCAGAAGGCGTCGACGCGACGTTTGCTGGCTCGTGTGCTGAGTCATTGGGTTCGCCGGACCATCTGCGTCTGCGCGGACCGCGAGCGAGTGGAGTGGGGGCGGCAGCTTAACAAAACGCGTACGGCCGTTGCCGGCTGCTATGCTGCGGCGAAGGTCGGTGCTGGGTTGCGGGCGCGGTGCTTCTACCGCTGGAAGGTGAGGCAGCTCCAGGCGGCGGTGGGGGTGCACCGCGCCCGGCAGCAGGAACTGGAAGAGGAGCTGCAGCGCGCCAATCGGGACGTGCAGCGCGCGGAGACGAGCCTGCAGCGGCAACTAGCGCTCGACACGGCGCGCGACCACCGCGAGCACAGCGCAAATGTGCGTGTGGTGCGTGAGCTGGAGGAGGACGCGACACGGCTCAAGGCAGCCATGGACGAGATGGTGTACGAGTTTAGCGAGCGCACGAGTGCGTACGTGCGGCAGCAGGAGGAGTTGGCGCAACACTACGCGGAGCGGGAGCGGCGCCTCACGCAGGAGG